TCAATGGCGTGCAATTTTCAGTGCGGTGCCCCTTTTCATCATGAAAGGTGCACCGGGACCTCTCCTCATAGTCTTTTTGTGCTTCTCCCAACTTAGCTGGCCATTTGACGAAAGGTTCATCGCGTATTTCACTGAGAATTCGGTAGATTGATTTTTTGAACACCGTGGTGATGGCAGTACGGACTCTTAGCTACCTTTTGTCTGAGTCCTCTCTGTTGGCCCATCTGCCTCGCCCATTCCTACTTGGGCGTTCTACCATGTTGGCTTTTGCTGTAGTATTTTTATCTGGCATTGCTGTTGTGCCAGATTTTGCTTTAGCACGGGTGTCATCCTCCTCCACCTGAATATGCTGGTGTACTCTTTCCATCAAGGCCTCCATCGTGAGGGGGGCGTTATTGTGATTGAGTCCCTCAACTTGTTTCCGACTGGTAGCCCTCTTTTGTACTGCGCGATGGCAAGATTGGTGGGGCAATCTCCTATCTTTTTGAGGTCTCCCAGTAGCGACTGTTGTAGGATCTCAGCGTCTCCATGTCGCCCATGTCAATGGAGAGTAATTGATCGATCTCCACTGGCATTTTGGTGTTCATTCGGAACCTAGTCACGAACGCCTCCGCTAATTGCGCCCAGGAGGCTATGCTGCCTTTTAGTAGCCTTTCGAACCAAGTTAAACCTAGGTCGCCAAGGCTGGATGGGAATAGGATGCACATCAAAGCCTCGTTCCGCCAGTATACTGCCATGACCTGGCGAAAGTGGCTTAGGCGCATGTAGGGGTCTGTCTTCCCCTCGTAAGTTGTAAATTTAGGCTGGATGAAGCCTGAAGGTAATGGTGCGTTCTCAATCACCGGAACGAACGGCGAGCTATGTAGCCTTGTCAATGCTTTATCTATTGGTTCGTAGGCAAGGTGTGGTATTGGCTTTTCTACCTTGGCGCTCCCATGCGTCCAAGCAGCCAACCGCTAAAGGGCTGAAACTCTGCGCGGGTCGCATGCCCTGGCATCCTCCTTCCATCGTGCCCTTTCTTCGAGCACAGTTCGCAAATCGAACGACCTAGGTAGCTCCGTCTGCCTGGATGACATCTGGTGCGTGCGTGAGGGCCGATAGGTGCTTCCCTCAGTATATAACCTATCAGTCCTCGTTTTTTTAGACCTGGAGTAACGAGTCCTGGTAGTCCTTGATTGAGTGTCGCCTATCTTGAGACTCCTACTTACTGCTTGTGACGGTGTGGTATGCCTACCACGATCTTCTGAGTGGCGAGAAGGCGTATTGCTTTTGCGTCCCTCTCCTGTCGCCACCCCCTTCCCTTTTATCTGGCACTTCATCAATTCCATGTCCGCCGCCATCTTCCTAATTAACTCGGCATGCTCTTTTACTCAATCCTCCAAAACTTGAGGGTCGATCCTCCGCCTCTGCCTATCAGGACTTGATGAGCGACGGGGGCTGTTACCCCGCCTCCTCCTTGCATCCCTCCAGGGGTTCTGTCGCTGGGGCTCTAAATCTGCCATGGGAGGGATGGAAGACAAACCTTTGCGCCTCCCACCTCCCTCTAGGGTTTGTCCGTCAGTGGCGGACTGCGGCAAATCTTCATTGTGCGCCATTGCGTCTAATGTAGCGAGGAAAACTTTGATCAAGAGGTTTTGTTCTTCTTGTGATTCCCACAGATGGCGCCAATTGTACGAGTACGAAATAATTCTTCTCGTATGATCCTGTTGATCAAGCTTGCGCTCCTCGAAACGTTGTCGCTTTGCCACCTGAGAACACAAATGTAAGCTAACCGACGGGTGTGTGCCGGAAATCCCTCCGATGCCTAAGTCAGCACAATAGACAATAGACACAAAAGTTCTGTGAATTCAGGAATCAAAATTGTATTACCTCTCCATATGTGATGTTGTGAGCTTTTATAGGTTTCGTGTGGTAAAATCCTAGTAGGACTCTTATTCCTCCACGTAGAGTCCTCCTAGGGATCACACTTCTGAAAGATAATGCTTATCCTTCAACACCCCCTTCACTATTTAAACCAAGTGAGATGGTTATACCTCGGTCGTATGACAAAACGACCGAGCTAAAAATGCCATGCTAGACTAGCAGAATTGAACCGAGTTCTGACTAGCTCGACTCTTCCTTTTACAACTTGTACCTCAGTTTCACTTCTTGGGACCGCGCTACCCACAGCGTGCTTGGACCAAGCTATTCAATAGTAAGGTTCTGAGAAAAAGCCCAAAATACCCCGGTCCTTAGTGGTATGACCGAGCTAATTGCTACTACTCTGACCGTAGTGACCGAGCTAACTACAGAAGCTCTTTCTGGACCGGGCTAACTACAAAGCTCTTTCTAGACCAGGCTAACTACAAAGCCCTTTTACTCAGCCCTTTTCACAGCTCTTTCTGGACCGGGCTAACTACAAAGCTCTTTCTAGACCAGGCTAACTACAAAGCCCTTTTACTCAGCCCTTTTCACAGAACGGCCATCACCTAACTCGGCCCAATTTACATATAAATTACCCTCTCATAAATTATCTTTTGTAATTTTAAAAATTATATTATATCTTTTTAAATTTCTAATTAAATAATAAATAACTCAGTATATTAATAAATTATCAATTGTCTAGCACGGCACTGGCAATTTGAGAAGTGGGAGAAACAACAATCCAAAAACAAGCACAAGGGAAACAAGAAGTGGAAATGCAGTAGGTAACAGAAAAGTTTGCTTACCTGCTCGTATTTACCTTGTCCAGGAGCATCAGAGAAAATTTCTGCAGTGATTGTATTTTTAAAATAATAAGATAATTTGATATTGGATAAGTCTTTTGGTCTAAAATAAAAGAATAAAAATATGTCATATTGTTATGTATTTATTTATTTATTTTTAATATATTCTTTCTAAGGAAATCTCTTGTCTGTAGTTAGGCATCTAATGAGAGAAGTGTTGTTGGAAGGCCACAAGTCAAGTTCGGAATGGCTTTGCAGTGCACCGTCCACGCCCGTCTCGTATCAGGGCGGGGGGCGGGGGCGGATGTGGAAGCGGGACGGATTAATTTATAATTTAAAAATATAAATATTAATACAAATTATAGATAATATAGATAGTGATTTGTAATTAATAAAAATTAAAAGATATAAGATAATAAATTAATGAGTGCAAATCAATACTAACCGTAATACTTTACGTTTTAATTTTATCTTACTGAAAAAATTAAATGATATATGTATTATATATACATATATAGTAAATATAAATGGGGAGAGGACAGTCTAGAATGAGGCGGAAAAAGATGTAACGCCCCACTATCTACTTGCCTAAGTAATTTGTGGATTGACCAACAAGACCCAAAAGCTTAAGTTCAAACTACTTAGTAGCAAGGTATTGGTACTTTATATGCCCAAGATTATCTATGCAAATTTTCGATATGAGACATAATGTTGCAAACTCCCCCATTTATAAACCTCGCGTCCTCGCGAGAGTTCATAATCAATTAGAATACCACGACAAGCTCGTAGCCAGTCCAAAATAAGTGGCTCACATGGTTGTGCATAGGTCGACTTTGACACCATCTATAACGTCCGATTACCGACTGGCCCAAGTAACTTGTGAGTCGACCAAAAAGACTCAAAAGTTTAAGCCTAAATTACTTGGTAGCAAGTAGTGGTACTTTATATACCCAAGATCACCTATGTAAATTTTCAATATGGGGCGGGATGTTACAAAAGCAAAATATGTCCCCGTTCCATTCCGCATCACAACAGGAAAACGTATGCGGGCAATACAGGGGCATAACAAGGCTAAGAAAATGGCCATCCTAGACCTATCTCAATACTTATCTAGGTGATTTAAATTGTTCATACGGTAAGACCTACTAAGAGATCATTCTTGAGGAGAATATTTTACTACACTGGATGGCATGTATAATTTTAAGGATATTTCATTTTTTTTTATGTACAATTTTGATTTGATCGCGTAATGATCGGTATTTTATTATTTTAAATTTTATTATTATTATTATTATTATTTGGGGCATAAATACACTACTCAAATAGGCTTAAAAATAAAGGGAAAATTACTGATCAATGGTAATTTCAAAAAATATATATATTTATTACAGATTCATAAAATAATTTATATTTTTTGTTATTAATATTTATAAAATTTGCCATTTATTTATAATTACTTTTTAAAATCAGTCCTGAAGTGAAATTTTCCAAAAATAAGTCATCCAAGTAGACTTTAAAATCAGTTGTTATCTTGTGGGTATGATGTGTCACTGTGCTTGTAGGATTTAAAATTGCTTGATTGTGATAATTTTTTGGATGGAGGAACTGATGAAGTTCAGGTAGGATTAAGCACTAGGCTGGGTGCTGATAGCTATAATTCATTTGTTTTGAAGTTGCTTTGGGGATAACTATGTTATAGCCCGTTTCTATTTGTTGATTAGTGAGGCTCACTGCTGCTCTGCATCTGAAAATTGGGTGATATTTGCTTGAAGTGGGCTGGAACTTCCAACACTATTTGCTTGAAATGGACTGGATATATTGGAGGCTTTGTTCTGTGTATTTTATTTTGATGGTGTATTTTGTTCTTCTTGCTTCTTGTCTTTGTTTGGCTTCTCACCAAACTTGGCGTAATGCTAGCATATGATTAGGTATGCATATTAGTGCCAACATAGTTAGGATGGTTATGTTATGCTATGATGCTTTTTGTATTTTTTTTAATTTATTTTTTTATCAACAATGCTTTTTGCACTTGCCTCCTCTTTATTGACAAATGTATGCTTGCGATTCATCAATAAATTTCTTCTCTTTTGCCGATTAAAAAAAAAAGAGTATGCAAGACCGATTCAATTTTTTTGAAACACACTCAATCGGTTAAACTCAATTGAAAATAAAAAGTAATAGTGATTCTGTAAATATAAGATAAACATTAAAAAAATAAATTTTAAATTTTAAGATAAACTATACAAATTTAAAATTTTCATATAGGTATCATAAATTCTTCTGGAATTTGGTAAAACTAGGAAAATGCGATACTTTGTGGGTGAGATGGATGATCAAACGAGTAAACCATTCTTAATTTTCACATTTGAATCATAGGATCATTTAGATTAGAAATTATATTTTGATTGAACATAACATCAAATACTCTACTGCAGTAGCAGATTATTCGAGAGAACCGAGAGAACTAGTACAATCTTCCTTGGCCTATTCATTCATATCAAACGGTGACATGATGATTTCCAACTAAAGAACTGCCTTGGTAAATGGAATCCCCCAAACCAAACCCAAATCACATCCTTTAAATTGCAGGTAGAAAATCTCAATCTGCTATTCATCTCAAAATGTGGAAATTCGTAGCCGACAAAGCCAAACATCTCATCGACAAAGCCTCTTCTCCTCTTCTCACTCTTCGTCTCTCTCCTCCTTCTTCTTCTCCAAAATCTCAATCTACTATTCGTTTCTTGACCTCTCTACACTCTCCTTTTTCTGATTCAATGGCTTCTTCCGATTCATCTCTTCTTGTCACTCTTCAATCCATCAACCCCAAGGTATCACCCACTTCCGATACATTTCTATACATACATGCTTTCAATTTTTTTTTTCCAGTTCCACACTAGTTTTCATTGTTTCATCGTTTCTATTCATAGCTACTCCTCTCTCTCTCTCTCTCTCTCTAAATTTTATTTAATCGTGTTCTAGGGTTTATTCTAACTGCGCACACACTCATTTCTATTTAGATCATCAAATTGTTTTTTTTAGTTCCTCACTACTTTTCAATGTTTCATCGTATCTGTGCATAAGTGATTTCTCCATCTGTTTTTTTTTTTTTTTAATCATGTTCTAGGGTTTATCTTCATCGTGCGCGCGCGCGCGCACACACACATGTATATTGTATATTAGCGGTGGGTGTTATGCTAACCCATCACGTTTGAAGTATCATATTTAAATTTTTGGATGGTGTAATGATTGAGGAACGGTTTGATGAATGAGAAAAACCATTTAGCAATTTTGGGTAATTTTATGATATTCATTCAAGCAATGTTAGGAACACAATTTATGTCCCATTTTGTGTTGGTCCTCTTTGCACTTAGACTTATTGTATTCATTCAGCAGTTATTATGTTGATATGAAGGATATTTTTGGAAAAAGAATAAAAAAAAAAGTTTAGTGTTCACTCCAATTGGAGACTACGCATTATATAATGAAATAGATATACTAGAAGACTAAGAACATGGTGCAATTGAAACTGTCAATGCATGGAGATTGTGTATGAGTGGAGAGAGGGTTTGTGTATTGTGGGCAGTAGTTTTTGATTTCTTGATTTTTGTTTTTGGTCTTTATGTTAATTGGTAGGCAAAGGTGAATATTTGGAGAACATAGAGTGTTGATGTGTTTTTTTTTGGGATTCAAAATTGTGTGACAAAGCTTTTCTGATGTGAGTTGTGTTGTGTGCTCATGGATAATAGAATAGATAGGTGGATAGAATGGATATTGAATGTTATGTTTTATTGTGTTTTTCCACCTCTGATTTTGTAAATTTGTTTAGTTAATACCACACTAATTTGATAGGATTATTAATACCTCACTATTAGTATTGTGAATCAAACATGACCTATGTTAATTGGTAGGCAAAGGTGAATATTTGGAGAACATAGAGTGTTGATGTGTTTTTTTTTGGGATTCAAAATTGTGTGACAAAGTTTTTCTGAAGTGAGTTGTGTTGTGTGCTCATGGATAATAGAATAGATAGGTGGATAGAATGGATATTGAATGTTATGTTTTATTGTGTTTTTCCACCTCTGATTTTGTAAATTTGTTTATGCATCAATGTGTATTTTCTTATGTCATGTCATTAGGGAAACCCAAATCGCTCTCTCTCAAATAAGCTGTATATTTTTGCTTGTTATGTATGCTTAATCTGTATCCATCTTTAGTTGGATATATTATTTTATTTTCCTGTTCTGTTGCTTTGGGTATTGGCTTCTGTTTTTGTGGTTGTTTGTGTTGTGTTTAATACTTTGGCATGTAGGTTCTCAACTTTTTTGCTTTGCAGTATTCTATGTCTTCTAGATCTAGCATTTGATGGATTTAGACATCTGAGTATTTCGATTATCACCACTACTGTCTTAAACAACTCAGTGTTGCTAGATAGCTCATGATTTGCTTCAACTACTAGATCAGGTGGCTGTAGTTATTGTAGAACCCCTGCTGAATTCAATTGCGTAGGTGATTTATATGGAGATAGTGATGGACCCATGAACCCATTTGTGTCATAGAACTAAAATTACTCTTCTTCTAGCAATTCAGAAATTGGAAAAGTTCAACTTCTCGTTTGGGAACGAGCTATTTTAGTAACTTTTTGGCTTTTTACAAAAAGATGTGCAGAAAAGTAGAGAGTGATGTGACAACTTATAGTGATTTTTTGACTTTTGGCTAAAATATGTAGTTGCCAAATGATAGAGTCAATAATTTGTTGAATTAAATTTAAGTCGTGTTAATAGTCATAACCACAATTTTTTTGTTTTTGATAATTTTTTGGAAACTCAACCATAATAATAATGCCTTAAACAGTCTAGTGTATATTTTTAAGCTTGATGAATAAGAAATGAGTTATCTGTTTGTCTTTGCATTTTTCACTTGTAGATTTTCTTCTGGATTTACATGTTGGTCCTCATTTTAACCTCAAAGTTTTCTATTCTGCCAGGTTCTGAAATGTGAGTATGCTGTCCGTGGTGAAATTGTTACCCTGGCCTAGGTAACATTGAGATTTCTGCTATGCTCTTCGATGAGGTATTAATTAAAATTTCAACATTTGATAGAGAGATGCATAGCATTGCAATGGTACCAAAAAAAAAAAAAAACTGAATTCTGTGTTAAACTAAGGAAAATTTATTTTAATCAAGAAGAATGCAATGTGAGGTGAAAGGAAGAAAAGAGACTAATTCTTGAAGATGTGTCATGATATTCCTTGCCAAATTCATGGAATTTAGGCCTATTCATGAAAACATACTAATTCTTAATATATAGTACTTGCATATATTTTTCCTTACAAATGCATGCTGCAAATGCATTTTAGGCATACTTAAAATGCATCTTGGTATTCATCTAGGTGTTGGTATGTTTCTTGACTCAATTCACTAACGACCATAATCCTTTGTGAACTGTTTTATGACCTCTTTTTATGTAACTAATTGAAAACCTAATTTCAATGTCACACACAACATAAAACATTGAATGAACCTAGGATTCCATTCCATCAACCTCACTTTGACTAATTCAGAGATTCTGTTGATTGGATTTTATTGCTCACTTCTTTAAGTAATGTTTCTGTGTGAAAAGTAAAACAATGAATCTCTTTGTAGAAAGCTTCTTCTCTTATTTAGTGTTTCTACCTCATGCAAGAATTACAAGTCTTCAGAGCACAATTTACGAAGAGGTTTTCTGCTTCTGCACTTATTTTCCCCTTATTGTGACAGATACTTTACTGCAACATTGGAAATCCTCAATCTCTTGGCCAGCAGCCAGTTACTTTTTTCCGGGAGGTTTGTTTGCTATAACTTCGTCCTATAAAGTATTATATCAACGTCAGCTCAAGCAATACTTGATCATTACCATACTTATGTTAGGTTCATGCACTGTGTGAACATCTAACGATTTTGGACAAAAGTGAAACACAGGGTTTATTTAGGTATGGAAACTTATACTTGGTTATGTGCTTTGTACATTGTTGATTTTGATTCACACTGCTGGAAAATTTTGCTAGAGATGACATTGCTCGTGTATTTATGTTGTATGCAATGTTTTATGTATACATGTATATTCACAGGGAATCAAGGGTTTAAGGGATACAATTGCTGCTGGCATTGAAGAACGAGATGGTTTTCCAACTGATCCTAATGATATTTTCTTGACAGATGGTGCAAGTCCAGCGGTAAACTTTAATGTCACTCCCTTCTGTCTACATACTTCATAACTTTTCAGAACTGGCGGCACTCGAATCTCAAGAATGGGTAACAGATTTTTACTCTCATGTTAGGTCCATATGATGATGCAGTTACTGATAAAATCGGAGGAGGATGGGATTCTATGTCCTATTCCTCAGTACCCTCTATACTCTGCTTCAATTGCCCTCCATGGTGGCACTCTTGTAGGTTCATGCAATATAAAACCAAAATTTAGGTCAAATAAGTCATTGTCTTGTGGGTTTTCATTGCCCACGAGAGTATTTGACTTTGATTTATAAGCTGTTTTTTTGCGGGTTCCCTACTATCTTGATGAAGCAACTGGGTGGGGATTGGAGATTTATGAGGTTAAGAAACAATTGGAAGCTGCCAAGTCCAAGGGCATCACTGTTAGGGCCCTGGTTGTAATAAATCCCGGCAATCCAATAGGACAGGTAAAGCAACAGTCAGATTCTGGAAGATTAAGTAAAATCACAAATATAACTTGCATTTTAATTCAATGATCTGAGGGTGATTGGATGGGGGCAATTATTGGGTGTTACGAGTTATGAGTCCTGTGACCTTGTCATGTTTCATAGTCTTGGTAATTTGTGCCTACAGGTTCTTGCTGAGGACAACCAGCGCGACATTGCAAAATTCTGCAAGGAAGAAGGTCTTGTTCTTCTAGCAGATGAAGTGAGTAGATTCTTCAGTGTTTGGAGATTTGACTAGTTCCTATTAACTTCAAATTGTGCTTAGGTGCCTCAGACTTGGCAATTTATTAGCAAAACTTAAAAATCACCTTTGCTTCGATGGCTTTGAATTTGTACAGGTATACCAGGAAAATATTTATGTTCCTGACAAGAAGTTTCACTCATTCAAGAAAATCTCCCGGTCTATGGGGTATGGTGAGAAAGACATCTCATTAGTATCTTTTCAGTCAGTCTCTAAAGGTATGTGGGATTCATAAATCAAATTAATATATGAATTATGGAATATATTGAGTTTAGATTTGATGTGCCCATGTTTTCTTGTAGCTTTCAGGGTATTGTGGGAAGTGTGGGAAAAGAGGAGGTTACATGGAGGTCACTGGTTTTACTCCTGAGATAAGGGAACAAATCTACAAAGTAGCATCTGTGAATCTTTGTTCAAATATCTCTGGTCAAATTCTTGCAAGCCTGGTCATGAACCCTCCCAAGGTTAGGTTTTCCCTCTCTAGATTAGTATTTTTGCATAAAGTGTCATGACTAAATGGGCCTAAACTTCAAGTTTATTGAATTCAGTTAGATCTGGTTAAAATCAGAAAAATCCTGAGGAAACAAGTGAGATTTCTGATTTAATACTAGAGATGACAATTTCCCCCAACCCAACTCTGCCCTGGCCTCAATCCCAATCCCGGTCCGGGCCCATACAGGTTTCTCCCACCTCAAGGAGGAAGCAACGCGGGGACGGGTTTTCCTGCCCCTCCCTATTCCATCCCTTCCCTGCCTTGATTATATTTGTTAAATATATATATATAATTTTTTTTTTTAATATACTAAGACTAAAACACTATATTACCCTTAACACTTATTTTCACGTATTTTTTATCTTACATTTTTTCAACTCTTACCACTTTTAAATCATTATACATAATATACCATATTGTCTCTCATTTTTATTAGTACCGGCATTTCTAAGGTTAAAAAATTTGCCCCGCCCCCAATATTGCTGTAGTATGATCACCTGTTCTGTCAGGTGCTCAACTTTCTTGTGTTAATATTGTTGTAGTATGATTAAGACGTTTGGATTTGCAACATACAGATTGATTTTTAAGTGCTAGTTTTGTTGACCTTAGGTACATGAACAAGATCTTGATTGTGCATTATTAAGCTGCTCTAAGGTTTCATTGAAAGCATAACTATATTCTTCTAGTATGAACAAAACTAGTTATTTCTACCCATAATTCCCTCTACGTATGTGTCATTGTTAGATAAATGAAATTTTATGGGTGGTTTTCAGGTTGGAGACGAGTCCTACGAGTCTTATTTTGCAGAGAAAGATGGTATCCTTTCATCTTTAGCAAGGCGTGCAAAGGTAGGTTAAAATCAACAATCTCATTGTTTGGGTTCAAAATGAGAAATTAATTAAATAGTAGAATGAAATGTTTTATTGAATTTTGAAATATAGTAAATGGATATCAGTCTAGCTTCTGAAGAAAAATCCATAAATTATCTCTTATGCTAGTAATAGGAGCATATTTCTCGAACAATTTGGGTATGTTCAATTCAGATTGATCTTTTGTGGTTTTGCCAAAACAGTATAATTCATCATGTGTTCTTTAGTTGGAAATTATCTTTGCCATATATAGGCACGAAACTTGGCACACACGACCGCCTAGGCACGAGAGACTTATGAGAGAAAACGGGACTCCAATCGGGTTCCCGGTTTGGGAGTTAGAGCCGAATTTCACTCTAGGCAAACTAGTTCCTTAAGAAACTTGAATTCGAAGTGTTGACGCCCCAAAATCACCAAATGGTGTCAGTTTAGCACGAAACTTGGCACATACGACTGTCTAGGCATGAGAGACTTGTAGGAGAAGACGGGACTCTAATTGGGTTCCTGGTTTGGGGGTTAGAGTCGGATATCACTCTAGGCAAACTAGTTCCTTAAGAAACTTGAATTCGAGGTGTTGACGCCCCAAAATCACCAAAAGGGATCGGTTTAGCACGAAACTTGGCACACACGACCGCCTAGGCATGAGAGACTTGTGAGAGAAGATGGGGCTCGAATCGGGTTCCCGGTTTGGGAGTTAGAGTCGGATATCATTCTAGGCAAACAAATTTCTTAAGAAACTTGAATTCGAGGTTTTGACGCCCCAAAATCACCAAAAGGGGTCGGTTTAGCACGAAATTTGGCACACACGACCGCCTAGGCACGAGAAACTTGTGAGAGAAGACGGGGCTCGAATCGGGTTCCCAGTTTGGGAGTTAGAGTCGGATATCACTCTAGGCAAACAAATTCCTTAAGAAACTTGAATTCGAGGTGTTGACGCCCCAAAATCACCAAACGAGGTTGGATTGGCACGAAACTTGGCACACACGACCGCCTAGGCACGAGAGATTTGTGAGAGAAGATGGGCCTCGAATCGGGTTCCCGGTTTGGGAGTTAGAGTCGGATATCACTCTAGGCAAACTAATTCCTTAAGAAACTTGAATTCAAGGTGTTGACGCCCCAAAATCACCAAACGGGGTCGGATTGGCACGAAACTTGGCACACACGACTGCCTAGGCACGAGAGACTTGTGGGAGAAGACGGGATTCGAATCGGGTTCCCGATTTAGAAGTTAAAGCTGTATTTCGGTCTAGGGAAACTAGTTCCTTAAGAAACTTGAATTCGAGGTGTTGATGTCCCAAAATCACCAAACGACATTGGATTGGCACGAAACTTGGTACACACGACCGTCTAGGCACGAGAGACTTGTGGGGGAAGACGAGACTCGAATCGGGTTCCTGGTTTGAGAGTTAAGGCCGGATTTCTGTCTAGCCAAAATTATTTACTTAACTATCTTTGTAATTATATAGTAGTTAATTTTTTTTATGTTTTTTTGTAATTGAAATATTAATACATAATTATAGTCATTAATTATTTTTATTTTTTATTTTCAGATATTTCTTGAGTAGCAGTTTGCTTCTTGTGGAATGCAGGCGTGTGAAGATTGCGACAAATTTTTGTTTTTGTAACCCACAGAAAAATCATGACGAAAATTATTATTTTTGATCTACGTTATTTACATTTATAAACAACATTATGTATGTATTATGCAACATTATGTGGTAGGATAATTTTACTGATATGTTGTTATGAATGGAAGAATACTTTAATTATGGATGAATTTTTATTTATATACAGGAATTTTTATATTATTATATAATTATCAATTTTTTTTAGTTATTTTCATTTAATACAGGTAATTTTCATATTTTTAATAATTTTATTGTAGTTTTTTTTTTTTTTTTTTTTGAGACGGCACCACACTGTCTAAAAAAAAATTAGAACCAGGTTTTTTGCGATGGTAGTATAGCCGTCGCCAAAGATATTGGCATTATTAATTAGTTGAAACAAAAGGCTTTTAGCGACAGTATTCTTCACCGTCGCAAATAATCATTTTAGCGATGGCATGTTTGCGGTCTCAAATAACCAATAAGCGACGGTAACCGTTGCAAATAACCATTTTAGCGAGGGCATATTTGCGGTCTTAAATAAACATTTAGCGGTGGTATTTTTGCCGTCGCAAATAACCATTTTAGCGACGGCACCACAGTGCCGTCTCAAAAATTTCAAATTTCTACACATTAATGGCGACGGTATTTTGCCGTCGCTAAAAGGCCTTTTTGCCGTCGCGTATATTTTGCGACGGCTTCACACCGTCGCTAAAGGCCTTCTGTAAACCCCTTTGTTGCGACCCCCCTCTTCCCGTCGCTAAAAGCCATTTGTCGTCGCAAAAAAGCTTTTGAGACGGCGTTTTGGGTATTTGCGACAGTATTTTACCGTCGCAAAAAAGTAAATTTTTTGTTGTGTGTAAGGTAAAAAAAATAAAAATGAGTTAAAACATCAAATTAATGGGAGACCCATTTATTACAACTCCTGTAAATTCTTATTTTAGTGTTCTTAAGTATTTTTGATCAATGTGTAATCTGAGAAAGTAATAAAAAGCAAAGCGTCGAGGTGGAGGCCCTTTCCTGTACTTCACATAAGATTGAGACACGTGGCATTTAACAGATTTAACCATTCCAAAATAAAACACACAATGCACACCTCCTTTGACAGACAAAAAAAAGATGTCATTTGCGGGAGACAGTTAATAAATATATATTAGTATTTTTTATAATAAAATACTAAATATGCACATGTTTATGCATAATTATTAAAAAAATTAAGATTCGATAAAATTTTATATTTATATTTAAAATTATTGAGGATTTTTATTTGTGCTAGACACTAAAAATGACATAATTTAATTGACTCAACATTTATTTGAACTTGGTCATGACCTAATTATTATAGAATTGTCTCAGTTTATATCTAATTATGAACCACTTAACTTATTTATTTATTAAATTGGTGAATAAATATACGTTCGTATTTTTTGTAATAAAATTTATAAGAGATTGGGTTAAGCATTTATAGTTGTAGTAGATACTAAAAGTGACATAATCTAATTGACTCAACATTTATCTCAACTTGGCCATGACCTAATCATTAGATAATTGTCTTAGTCTATGCCTAAACATAAGCTACTTAACTCATTTATTTATTAAATTGATAGATAAATATATGTTAGTACTTTTTATAATAAAATATATAAGAGTCGGCTTGAGAAATTATAGTTGTACTAGACACTAAAAGTAACATAATCTAATTGACTCAACATTTATCTCAACTTGACCATGACCTAATGTTGATTTAATTAGATTATGTCATAAATGTTGATTAATTAGATTATGTCACTTTTAGTGTCTAACATAACTATAAATTCTCAATAATTTTAAATATAAATATAAAATTTTGTCCAAATTTTAATTTTTTTAATAACTATGCACAAACATGTTCATATTTATTATTTTATTATAAAAAATACTATAATATATTTATTCACCAATTTAATAAATAAATGAGTTAAGTAGTTTACGTTTAGGCATAGACTAAGACAAATCTCTAATAATTAGGTCATGATCAAGTTGAGATAAATGTTTAATCAATTAGATTATGTTACTTTTAGTGTCTAGCACAATTATAATTCCTCAAGTCGACTCTTATATATTTTATTATAAAAAATACTAAGATATGTTTATGTATCAATTTAATAAATAAATGAGTTAAATAGCTTATGTTTAGGCATAAACTAAGACAATTCTCTAATGATTAGTTCATGGCCAAGTCGAAATAAATTTGAGTCAATTAAATTATGTCATTTTTAGTGTCTACTACAACTATAAATGCTTAACCCAACTCTTATATATTTTATTACAAAAAATACGAACGTATATTTATTCACCAATTTAATAAATAAATGAGTTAAGTAACTTATGTTTAGACATAAACTAAGACAATTCTCTAATAATTAGGTCATGGCCAAGTTGAGATAAATGTTGAGTCAATTAAATTATATCATTTTTAGTGTCTAGCACAAATAAAAATCCTCAATAATTTTAAATATAAATATAAAATTTTATCAAATTTTAATTTTTTTTAATAATTATGTATAAACATGTACATATTTATTATTTTATTATAAAAAATACTAATATATATTTATTAAGTGTCTCCCCCAAGCGACATTGTTTTTTTTCTGCCAAATGAGGAGTGCACTATGTGTTTTATTTTGGAATGGTTGGATCTGTTAAATGCCACGTGTCTCAATCTTATGTAAAGTGCGGCAACGGGCCGGAGGCAAGAGTGCAGGAGAGGAGGCTGATCCGCGTGGAGGTGAAATTATATATTTATATATATATATTGATTGGTTGAGATTTTTTAATTTCGATTAGGGATATTTTGAAAAGATAGTTAAAAATTATCTTTCAACTTTTAACTTATTTTGAGTCACATTATCTTTCACATTTTGTACATTTTTTTTATAAAAAAAATCAAAAAATTAACTTTTAACTATTTTCTGAAAAAAGTCACCAAACTACCAAATATGCAGGGTAACACCCTCAGTTGGCCCAAACAACATTTGAGACCGTCCATTCAATACCAGATGAAGTTGATTCAGGCAAGTTTGTCGAGTTAGGGTTTGTTCACACTCTTAGTATGCGTAATAAAGCTCACTATGTGTCTCACTTTAATGATCCGAATTATTTACTTTTTAAGGTACGTTAATTAAAACATTTTCGAAAAATTGGAGTTAATTGAATATTGGTAGCCCTATTATCAGTTCAAATTTGTATCTGCAAAAATAAACTATAGGTGTAATTTTAAATACAAAGTTGAATACAAATTTAATCTAATTATAAGGTTACAAAAGCCCAATTAACTTAATTTTATAAGAATGTTTTATTTAATATATTTTAAGAAGTGAATGATTTAAATTATCAACGTAAAATCCAAAGTGAGGCTCATTGTGCTTACAACAATAACCGTTGTACATCAATCACATTCCATCCGTAATTTTCACTTAAAATAATGGCAAAATTTTAATTCAATGTAAATTTAAAAAGAAATACAAATAAATAGTATATTTTTTTATAATACTACAATGAAATAATTGAATACAGAGACCCTCAAATTTTGTGACCTTTTGTCACGACCCCAACCAGCCCCTATGGGTTTAGCACCGTAACCGGCCAGTAATCCAAGATTACCGAAAGCCTGCTTAACAGTAATACAGTAGAACAGAGTATAGGGGCCTGGCAGAAGCCAATATAGTAAATAAACAATGTCCAATGAGCTGTGACAGTTTGTATGCAAAAAAGACTTTTCATGCATACATATATATATACACACAGTGCAGAACAGTTTGTATAACATTTATAATCATTCAGATCAGGGACCCAATCCCTATTAAACAGTACAGTAACAGTCTATACAGTCTATACAGTTAACAAAACAGTTACAGAGACAGACGGGAGAAAATTAAAACACCCCTAAGCCATAGCTTGACAGGCTCGGAACCTCGCAGTGAGGCACAGTGGTTGGCTTAACAAAATTGGAGCTTACCCTGACGCTTCTAGCCGCAGTCTGGTGCCTGTACACCTACATATATATATGAACAGTGAGCTAAAGCCGAGTGAATAACATAATGCGTAAAGAGGTTTAGAATGAATGTCCTTACAGTAATGAAAACAGTTCATTAAATCAGTATTTCAGTCGTTCAGTCAGTACAGTCATATGTGGTACATCCATTAGCATAACAGTACAGTAAACAGTAGGTCTTGAAAGACCGAACAGTGGTGAGGGTTGTTACAGTCTGCCATTCTTAAAAAGAGTTTAGTCCTCTAAACTCGAGTTACCTTCGTTTTGGAAGAAAACAGGATTCAGTGGGAACAGTTCAGGATATCTTTTAGCCATGTCATCTTCCCTTTCCTAAGTGGCATACACGCCACCATGGTTTTGCCAGTCGACTTTCACTAATGGGATCTCTTTGTTTCTCAACTTCTTAGTCCGTCTATTTACAATCTGAATAGGCCGTTCCTCGTAAGTGTAGTCATCACTCAGCACTACACGAGTAGGCTCTATCACATGAAAAGGATCCCGGAGGTAATCCCTCAACATAGAAATGTAGAAGACGTTGTGCATATGCTCCATTTCAGGAGGAAGCGCAACTTGATACGCCACCGGATTGATTTTCTCAATAATCTCATATGGTCCGACGTATCTTTCAGGAGGGAGCGCAACTTGATACGCCACCGGATTAATTTTCTCAATAATCTCATATGGTCCGACGTATCTTGGCGCTAACTTGCCTTTGACTCCAAAACGAGTCTGGCCTTTCATCGGTGTCACTTTCACAAACACGTGATCACCTACTTCATATTCTCTGTCTCGTCTTCTGACATCAGCATAACTTTTCTGCTTGCTCTGTGCAGTTTTCAGTCTCTATTGTATCATTTTCACTTTCTCAGTCGTTTCATATACAATCTCGGGCCCAAGCAAAGGCCCATCTCCAACTTCTGCCCAGCAAATCGGAGACCTACATTTTCTGCCATACAATGCCTTGAAAAGCGCCATACCAATACTTGAATGATAACTGTTGTTGTAGGCAAATTCGGTTAAGGGCAAATGGCTTTCCCAGTTTCCCTGAAAATCAAGGACACACATTCTCAGTAAATCCTCCAGAGTCTGGATGGTCCTTTCTGACTGGCCATCTGTCTGAGGATGATAAGCACTACTTAGTCTCAATTCA